AAAAGCTGCACATGCCGCAAGTGAAGGTGAGTGTGATGAATTTGTTGGAGTAGGGGTGGGTTCAAGGGTTTCAAAGCGAGGGCAAATTTACATAAAATTAAAGGCTAAGTTCGAATTGTCTGTAAGTCAGAAGTTCATAACCCGACCAAGGACTGCCTGTAGTCAGCATGCTCTAGGTACTGATATTCAGCCAGTTACAAACCCAACCAGTCATTCTTTCATCTAGCACACATTTCTCCATCTGGCTGGGGCTCTCATTAGCAAATTGGTCCAATGTCTATTGAAGTCTAGATACAGTTGCTACCACATTTTCCGTGCCAGGATAGTCCAGTAAATGAGATTAAATTATTCTGATATGACTCATTCATAGTGATCAAGGAATATGAGAGAAGCTCCATATGTTCTGCTGGCCTCTAAGCACAAGAAAGTAGATATCAGCTCAATTTAAGGAATCACTTTCTATGGGTCAGAGCTGTACAAAGTGGAATTGACTGCTATGGGGTGTAGTGAGTTTCCTGTCAGTGGGGGTATTCAAGCACAGGCTGGATGTTGGTAGGGTGGGGACACTGTAGGATGGGTGGCTGGGCCAGAACCAGGTTGAATTTTAAGGGCCCTTCCAACCTGAAAGTCTTTAATTCATGCAGACAGGACTGCACACAAATACGTGGCATATTGCAGGCTGTAGGAAGATAGTGGGCTCAGCAGGCTAACTACATCAGAGCCAGGAAACCTGATGACCAATACAGTATTTTTTAGATCTTTGATTGCTAATTCTGTACAAAATTACTTCATTTTCCTGTGTTTCACTTTTAATGCAAGCACCAAATATTCATTCAGTGCCTCGTTGTTGTTGTGTGCCGTCGAGTCAATTCTGACTCATAGTGACACTGTAGGATACAGTAGAACTGCCCCACAGGGTTTCCTAGGCTACAGTCTTCACGGGAGCAGATCACCAGGACTTTTCTCCCAAGGAATGGGTTCAAACCGCCAACCTTTCGGTTAGCAGCCAAGCGCTTAACTGTTGCACCTCCAGGGATCCTTTTCAATCTTTAACCGTGTGCAAAAACATTCTATTTGAAAAATAAGGATGAAAATGTCAACAAAGCCATCAGGGAAGTCTGAAAAATAATGAGCATAATGATCTCAAAGTCAGTAAATGATAAAAAAAAAGAAAAGAAAAGAAAAGAAAAAACCAAACCCATTGCCTTCCAGTCGATTCCGACTCATAGCTACCCTATAGGACAGAGTAGAACTGCCCCATAGGGTTTCCAAGGAGCAGCTGGTGGATTTGAACTGCTGACCTTTTGGTTAGCAGCTATAGCTCTTGACCACTGGGTCACCAATAGCCACATGCAAAAGTCAGTGTCCACAATTGACTTTACTCATCATTACAGGTATTAGAAAGGTTAGTAGATCAAGCATTATACTTGAAACCCAGTCTCCTTGACACCAAAGACACAGAATCCCTGTACAGTGGACTGAAGTCCTCCATTTATCATTCTAGTGAAAAGTCACTGAACATCTAAGAGTGTCCTCATGTCTAGCTTAGCAGTAATGGTTTCAAATTAGATCTCAGAAAGTCTGTGAGTTGATGGTAACTTCCAATCTTCTCCTTCCGAAATATATTCAGATAAACTTGAATCGGTTGCTTAGGGTAAGGAATTATAAAGGTGGTGCTTTTGTGAACACTCTTTCTATATTTTAAATTATATTATTTGTTCAAGAACATAAAGCTCAATTATGTACATTCTGGTTTAATCATAAATTAATTATGCTTGGAGAATCCGCCAGCCACGCCACAGGAGAAAGATGTGGCAGTCTGCTCCCATAACGATTACAGCCTTGGAAACCCTATGGGACGGTTCTACTCTGTCCTATAGGTTGCTATGAGTCGGAATCAATTTGACGGCAATGGGTTTGGTTTAGTTTTCAGATATTACATTGACTAGTCTACCATTATTTAGACAATAATTATACATTTACTAATTGTATTAGCTTTCAAATATCATTTTGGTTAAAAATAGAGTTAAGGATGACTGAAATTTAAGAAATAGAGTATCTGTTATTTTTTGCAAGTTTATGAGAAGCAGGAAAACATTCCCAAAATTTCTCAACATTACAATGCCAGCAAGGCTGACGTGACTGAACCCGATGTGACGCCTTTTTAATTACTAACGGGATGCCTGCCTTGATTCTGAGCTTCTACCTCCATCCTGTGCTTCTGACCTTATAATTGGTCCCTATTTCTCAGTCCTTGATCTTGTTCCTGCCACAGACCTGGAGCACTCCCAAGTGTCTCAGTTCTTTCAATCGGGCTTTTGCCTTATTTCCTACTCTCACAACTTTCCAAGTACTCAGGGTGTCTCCTTTCTCTTTTCAGCCCCTTCCCAAGGTCTGGCTCTCTACCATTCCTTCAAGCATGGTGGAAAGGGGGCCTTTGTTTAAGGGGACACATCTCCCTGATGCTGACTGCCCAGACCCGTCAGCTTTTCCAGAGCTCTTCTCTAATCAAGTGTTAGGACGGCCCACTTCTTGGTCTCGAGTCTGACAGGGCCCAGAGACAGCTGAACTCCCGGGCTCCAAGCCTAGCTGGTGAGACCTCCCAGCTGGATCCGTCTGTCCCTCCTCTGACTCCCAGCCAAACCTCCTCTCTCAGTCCCTGTATGCTGCATATCTTGTTCCAGAGTCCGAGTCTGGGGCTCAGACCTCTTTGCCTGCCCCATTCTGGGATTCATAATTCTCCATGCCCCAAGGAATTCTGTGATAGGAGACATGCTGAGCCACATGGGAACTGGGCTAGGGATGGGGCTGGAAATCAAGTGACCCCAGGCAGGGAAGGAGTCCTTTAGAGGCAGGAAAGAGAACGGTCCTGGTACGTGTTTTACTGTCAGCTTCATCCTGCTGAGACAACAGCGCCAACTGTTTTAGTCTAACTCCTTCTTCCTATAGCTCCTGCCGTGGGTTCGTCTGCATCATGCTGTGGGTCCTTGGTCATATAATGCTTTGTACTGTGGCCAGGCTGCCTGGTGTGGGTCTGGCTTGTGTTGCCCACCAGCTTCCAGTAAGAAGGCTGGGGCCAAGTCCTGAATTTTTTATGCACCTTTAAACTTAGCCCAGGAATATGCTCGATGGAGTCCCTCAGTAGTGCAAGGTTAACACACTCAGCTGATAGGTTGGAGATTCAAGTCCATCCAGAGGCACCTTGGAAGAACGACCTGGTGATCTACTTCTGAAAATCAGCTATTGAAAACCTTACGGAGTACAGTTCTACACTGACACATGAGGTTGCCATGAGTTGGAATCCACCTGATGGCAACTGGTATATGTGCAATAAATACTTAACTAATTTAAAGCCTTTGCAAGAACTTACTCAGGACCAGGCAGTTTGCTAAGTGGCGTATATGAATTATCTCATTTAGTTCTTGAGATAATGCTGTAAAGTAGGCAGTATTATTGACCCTTATTACAATGAAGGAAACTGAGGTTTAAATAACTTGCCCAAGATCATTCAGGTAACACAAAACAGCTGGAATCTGAGCTGAGGCAGCAGTTTGGCAGCACGTGGCCTCTGGCTTTGATGGGAAATACTTACTCATCAGCCCAGCAACCATACCTCCCCAGCCCTTACCACAACCCAGGCAGCTATTTTATAATTCAGAATATTCAGAAGAGAAGGAAGATAAGAAATAGAGCAGTTCATTCATTTACTTATTTGCTCAATAACCAAATATTGAGCACCAGTCGTATGCCAGGTATGTGCCGGGCATGGAGATCTAAAATACTTTGGTGTGGTTCATATCTTTGCACATATCTTTCCTCCTCCTGGAACCCCCCATCTCAACCTTCTTTGCCTGGTGAATGATGGCTCAGCCTTCAAGACTCAGACAAGGTATCTTCTCATCCAAAAAGAACCGTGCCTTATTCATATCTGTTGGGGGGATCCATAAACGTACATTTTTGACTTAATGTGCCCCCTTTTTTATGGATTAAGTCCTATTTTCTCGTTGATGTATGTTTCAGAGATGTCTTACTTATTCTGAATTCCTATTAAACTTCACTCTTTAAAAATGCTGGGCCTTAATACTTTAGAAACAAGCTTCTCTCAAGTGAACCTTAGTACTCTACACACAGTCCCTTAAGTGCTTTTACCTTTATATTTAAAACAATGTGTTGGAATACTTTTGCAAAACTAGTGGTCAACTTTACTTTATAGATTTTTATTTTCCAATATTGAGAGCTCAAATTTATTTTTAATTTTATGTATACAGTTAAAATCAAATAGAACTAAACAGTTCAATCAAAGGAAGAGCAGTTCTCTGCAACCTTCTTCCACCTACCCCACCCCACCCAGAAGCAACCACATTCAACTCTTCTCAGCTCAGCGATTTTCCTGTGCTTGTGTAGAGTCGAAGCTGAAGCCCACAAGCCACAGAGCTTCCATGAAAATATTTCTTAAACCCTGTTAATACTGATTACCACAGCTGGCTGAGTCAACATGAAGTAAGGTGGTCTGGTTGCCAGCACACTCAGTAGATGCTGGAAGAACACCCTACCTATGGTCTCCAGATACAAGACACTTCTGTCAGCTTCCTTAAACGGTGACTTTGAGATATAGTGGGACTGTAGACGTTGTCCAGTTAAGAACGGTCTGACAAAGGAGGAATAGGGGTAGAAGGTATTAGACCTCTACCACATAATCATATGTTAATCTATGCTTAGTCCTTCGGTGGTGCAAATGAATAAGCAATTGGTTACTAACTGAGAGGCTGGAAGTTTGAGTCGACCCAGAGATGCCTCGGAAAAAAGCCCTGGGGATCTACTTCCAAAAAGATTAGAGTCATGGAAAACCCTGTGGAGCACAGTTCTACTCTGATACACATGGGTCCGCCATGAGTCGGATGGATTTGACGGCAATGGGTTTTAATCCATGCTTGGGAGATTTCCATAGTCATAGTACCCTTACTACAGCATTTTTTCTTTTTTTTTTTGGTATCACTTACTTGTGCATGTTTTTTCATCTGGGTTAAGAGCAAATCCTTCATGGCACTGGCAAATGTAGGAGTTATCACCATTTACACACTCGTGTTCACATCCATGGTTTTCCGAGGCACAATAGTCCACAGCTGTAGAGAGTAACACACATTCAGAGTTGAATTAGAACTGTAAACAGATGTAAAGGTAATGGAAGAGTGGAAGCATACTTATAACAAATATAAATATGGATTCATATTGTTGCTCAATGACAAGTATGGATAAATAAATAGGAATATAAATAAGAATAAAAAGCCTCTCCTTGCAAAGAAAAAAAAAATCAGGAGTTCAGATCAGGCAGTTTATATTAGAAGATAAACTAAAGAACATATGTACAGTTGTATTTAAAAATTAAATGTAAATCAAAGCTATCAAAAGGCATACTTCACCTATTAAACTGGCAAAAATAAAGACAGGATAAAACACAAAGCTGGCAAGACAGCACAGAAACAGAATTATTAACAGTGGGTGGCATTACAAATCCTTTGGAAAGGCAATTTGACAACGTTCACCCTGAAAATGTGACCCAAAGAAATAACTGAAAAAAAAGAAAAAAATAATTATATGTAATAAGTTATATGTAGTAGCATTATTTACAGTGGCAAAAAGAGGAAGTCTAGAAAATAAGACGAACATTTAGTAATGGGGAAAGGTGCCCAGGGTGGCTGGAGTAGAGAGAGAGAGGTGGGCGCTAAGAGTGGGTGCAGATCAGGAGGGGACCCGTGTGCCAATGCAAGGACTTTGGCTTTTACTCTGAGTGAGCTGGGAGTCATTAGAGGGTTCTGAACAGAACAGACTATAAAGGGCAAGTGTCATCACAGAACACCAGGTAGGAGGCTGCTACAGTAATCCCTGCGAGGAATGGTGGAGGCTTAAACCGGGATGGTAGTTGGGAGACCAGGGGGACACAAGTGGTTTTCTGGGTATATGTTGAAGATGGGGCCAGTAGGATTCCTACTGGATTAGACAAAGGTGATTAGAGGCTAGAGAAAAAGAGAGGAATTAAGGCTGACTCCAGGGACGTGGTCCTGAGCACTTGGAAGGATACCAAAAACCAAACCTGTTACTGTAGAGCTGATTCCGACCCTATACGACAGAATAAAACTGCCCCATATAGTTTCCAAGGCTGTAATCTTTACTACAGAAGCAGGCTGCCACATCTTTTGGTTAGCAGCCGAGCACTTAACCACTGTTCTACCAGTCAGTGCTCACTGCTAGAAGGGTGGAGTTCCGTTAACTAAGATGGAGGTGGGGGGCGTGGGTGGAGTAGGTTGTGTGGAGGAAGATCAGGAGTTTTGTTTGGGGGCATTAGACCATACTTAACATTATAATTATGATGACATAATTGTAAATAGGAAGGCAAATACAATTTAGTGAAAAAGCAGATCTCAAAATTGCATATTCACAAGTAAAATACAACACAGGACAGAGCAACGTTTTGTTGTTATACATGAGCTGGAGCTGACTAGATGGCAAGTAACGACAACAACAAGAACAACAACAATACATCTCTAAGGAAAAGCCTGGGAATAAATAAAAATAGTTGTTGTGTTAGGATTGTGGATGATTTTTTTTTCCTCTAAAAAATGTTTCCCTCGATAATGTCTTAGAACATTTTTCTAACAAAAGTTTTAATAATAATAACAGGGAAGTGGAATCTGCAAAATTAACACATGTACAATTTAAAAAAAAACTATACTTGGAGGAAATAATGACACACTTAATATAATCATCAAAGGATTCAAAGGAACAATAAAGGCAATAATCTGTGTTGTGTTTATACTTTTGCTCCCAGGTTTTGTTAAGTTGTCATCTAAAGTATCATTTTTGTAACTTCACCTCCCTACAGTGTTCTAGTAACACCTAATATTGTGGGTTTAATAACCAAATCATTATGGTGGGAACGGATCTTAATGTACTCTTACATCATCATAGGACATTAGCCAGTTGCTGGAGTTTAGTCACAACATATACAATGAGCTAGCACCAAATCCTCCTAAAAGTTAATTTCTCATCTTTCAAAAATCAATGGCTCATTAAAGAAATTAATGGTGACACTGGTGACATTGGGATCAGAGTACCAAGCCCTGGCACATGCCCTAGTCTGAGTGTTCTGGGAGTTGGCCATACTGTGGTTCACACTGGCTTGTATGAGCAGTCAGCACTCCTTACCTTAGCCTCCTTGTGCCCGCCATCTTGAAAATCTCTTCTGACTGGGCATCTTGAAAATCTCCCAATCCCCGATTTGAGTGTTTGCCTCTATACACCTTATACCTTCAATCAGCCAGGCCTACCTCTGGCCACCTACTTCTTAGTATCTCCTCCAAAGAGAGAAGTTGCTAATTTGATTTCAAAGTTCCCAGACGTAGGTAGTGCCACAATGATGCGTAGGCAGTTCACTGTACCTAAAAGGCAAAAACCTAGGCTCCACCTCCCTCTTGAACATTCTCTTTCTCGTCACACAGTGTAATTTCTGAGCCAGCCATCTCTGTCCCTCAGAGCACACCTGAGTATGCTGACCCCAAAATTTAGACTGGGAAGAGGCTGGAGGTTTTGCTTGGGCCTCAAGTCTAAGCCCCAAACTGCAAACTAGTCTTTTCCAGAATGCTCAAGAATACAGTATCCAATGTTAGCTCAGGTGTTTAATAAGTGGTACAGAAGAAGCTCTTTTAACTGACATCTACTTAACCAACTCCTGGTCGATCAATGTTTTTCATTACCTCTGAAGATTGTGACTGATGCCCAGAGTATGCTAAATGCTCAAGGTTGGGGAACACTTTAGCTCTAGAACACCTGTGCACTTCTCCCATTGACTGAGTTGTATGTTTACTGGTTCTCAAAGTGAGGTCCATGAATCTCCTAAAAACTAAATACTTATACTCATCAAAAACTTCACCAAAAGAGTAAAAAGAGAACCTACTTACTGTGAAAAATTTTTTGGCAACGACATATCTGATAAGCATCTAATCTCTAAAATATATAGAAAACTTCACTTCAACAACAAAAAGACAAACAATCCAACCAAAAAATGGCAAAGGACATGAACAAACACTTCACCAAAGAAGACATTCAGGTGGCTAACAAACACATGAAGAAATGCTGACAATCATTAGCCATTAGAGAGATGCAAATCAAAACTACAATGAGATACCATCTCACCCTGGCAATAATGGCACCAGTTAAAAAAAAAACAGAAAACAATAAATGATGGCAAGATTGTGGGGAGATTGGAACTCTCATATACTGCCAGTGGGAATGTAAAATGGTACAACCACTATGAAAAATAGTATGGCATTTCCTTAAAAAGATAGAAATACCATATGACTCAGCAATCCCACTCCTAGCTATATATCCTAGAGAAATAATAGACACACGCACACCTATGTTCATTGCAGCACTATTCATAATAGCAAAAACATGGAAACAACCTAAATGTCCATCAATGGATGAATGGATAAACAAATTGTGGTACATACATATAATGGACTACTACACAACAATAAAGAATAATGATGACTCCATGAAACATCTCACTACATGAATGACTCTGGAGGACATTATGCTGAGTGAAATAAGTCAATCACAAAAGGACAAATATTGTATGATACCACCATTATAAAAAGTCAAGAATAGGTTTACACACAGAAAGAAACATTCTTTGATGGTTAACAGGGATGGGAAGGGGAAGGAGGGAGAATCACTAAATAGATAGTAGACATGTGTTAACTCTGGTGAAGGAAAAGGCAATATACAATATGGGGGAAGTCAGCACAATATGACCAAGGCAAAGGAAGACACTGAGAGGTATGCAAGAATAAAGGACAACTACGGTAAATAGTATGACATATACAATCCTGCAACAAAAGTAATAACAGATAATAATTTGTGAGTGAATATATAGGCAGATATATATGTTAAATAGGTGTGGGAGGTTGTACAGGAGGACACCTGTGTGCATATATAGGTATGGTTGTGGATATTTCAACATACATATTTGTATGTGCCGCATGTATATTCTTATATACAATAGAGCACATAAGGGGCACAGTTATGCAAACTTCTTAGATATAACCAAACACTTCACAGGACTGAGCTACTGGGCTTGAAGGCTAAGGACCAGAGTCTCAGGGGACACCTAGTCAATTGGCATAACATAGTTCATAAAGATAATGTTCTACATCCTAGGTTGGTGAGTACCATCTGGGATCTTAAAAGCTCGCGAGCAGTTATCTAAGATACAACTATTGGTCTCTTCCCAGCTGGAGCAAAGAAGAGTGAAGAAAACCAATGACTCAAGGAAGCAATTAGTCCAGAGGACTAATGGTCCACATGAACCACAGGCTTCTCTAGCCTGAGACCAAAAGAACTAGATGGTACCTCGTTACCACTACTGACTACTCTGACCAGGAACACAACAGAAGGTCCCCATTAGATTGGGTGAAAAATGTAGAACAAAATTTAAATTCATAAAAAGACCAGACTTACTGGCCTGATAGAGACTGGAGGAACCCTTGAGACTATTGTCCTAAGACACCCTTCAAACTTGGAACTGAAGCCACTCCCAGAGGTCACCTTTCAGCCAAATAATAGACTGGCCTATAAAATAAACAATAGCACCAAGAGGAATGTGAGCCATAGAATAATCAACTATATGAGACCAAAAGGGCAACATTTGCCCAAAAGCAAAGATAAGAAGGCAGGGAGGGATAGGGAAACTGGACAAACGGAAACGGGGAACCCAGGGTAGAAACAGGGAGAGTGCTAACACATTGTGGGGATTGCGACCCATGTCATGGAACAATTTGTGTATGAATTATTGAATGGAAAACTAAGTTGTTGTGTAAACTGCCACCTAAAACACAATAAAATGTCAAAAAAAAAAAAAAGTGAAGTCCATGAACGAGCTGTGAACCAGCTGCATCAACCTCACTTGATAACTTGTTAGAAATGCAAATTCTCGGGCCCAACCACTGACTTAAGGAGCCCTGGCGGTGCAGTGGTTAAGAGCTCGACTACTAATCAAAAGGTTGGCAGTTTGAACCCACCAGCTGCTCCAAGGGAGAAAGATACGGCAGTCTGCTTCCGTAAAGAT